GTGCGGACTCTGAGCAAAACTCTGGCCCGCTGCAGTTTTGAGCTCAGAATGTTGTGAATAAAGCCCCGTAGCATCTGGTGCTGGGGCAATGCCTTTCTGGGTAAGCTTACATGCTACCTCCTCAAGGGCGATTTCCTTTAAGTTTTCGGCAACGGATAGGCAAGCGGTAACCAAAAGAATGCATGCAAGCAGAAGTCCCCTGGTGTAGTGGTTGACTGCATCTCCACATTTTTTAGATCGCATTGGGAAGTCTTCAATTGAGGATAGATAGAATCCGCATGGAAAGGAGAACCAGAAGCGTAAAGATTCCAATATGCAGGGAACTATATCACCATTATCTCATATACACGGGAAAAGGAGTCTGAAGTTAGCTATTTATCAAAAACATGGCCATACAGCCGTGCATTTGTGTCTATGCACTCTAGAGTGACACTAGGCTTTAAACTCCCACCAATGGGAGGAGTGCAGCCCAAGTAAAATAAAGGGAGAGCTTAGTGTCCACAATTCGTCTTGCACTTAAGAAGGAAATGGGAACGGTGAATTCGACACATAAGAGCTCTTTGACCAATCAAAGTAATTATTTCCCGTTCTACCCATGCCATTTTGTACAATTCTATCCAACGAATACTTCTATAGTCTAGTATTTGAGCCCTAGCTTCTGTTCATGATCAATATTTCCATTCCATGTTGCCTGAATATGCCAGCTATTAAATGTAAGAAATTATGGTAGATATATTATCAAGCTTCTTAGGTAATGACATTGAGTAAATTTTTCTTAATCATGACAAGTTGGATAAAAAAGATGCCAGCATACATTTTTATTTTATCATTTATTGTTTATTTATGCAAAACTAAGATAAAAACAGGATAGATAGACGCGGCAGATACTAGAGCTAGTTGGCTGATAGTAGGCCTGTTTGACCATAGATGTGATGCATGTAGCAAAGGCTTGATCATGAGACTTACTCAGAAGCTTAGCCTCAAATTAGTCACCCAGACGCAGGGGATGGTTATGGATGGGGTGGCAGGGGTCGAGTAAAATAATTGAACCAGAGAGATAGCAGACAGATCCTACGGTGCAAGAAGGAGACTCTGATAAGACCTATGGAAGGAGGACTGCGTAACAATATGGCAGAATCTGATCCACATTCCCAGCACAAGGGGGAAGGGGGGTGAGAATGCTAGCGTGGAGTGTGGAGGGTTGTCATGACAGCCGCTCAAAAGGGCAGACCAGACTAGATTTGACTAAGCAAGATAAAAATTGTGCTATTAAAGGCGTGATTCGAGGATATGGGATAGGTGAATAGCCGATTACAGAAGGAGAGATACCACAACTGTTTAGCACACATTTGATCAAAGGATCGCTTCACTTGTCTCTTTGACGAGTTGTTGTGTGGTGCTAAGAATGGCAAGACTCACTGACGATGCCGGCGAAACTTCTGGGAATGTATCACGTCCACGCCCCGACTTTGGAAATGATCCTGAATACAATGGACTCCGGAATAGATGCATTCCTCTTAGTCTTCCTACTAATATGACCAAGTTGCGAAAGCTAGATCAAGCAACTTCTATACAACGAAAGGAGACTGCGACCACGCAAGAAACCACACCATCTTGGTCTACATATCTTCAAATCATGGAATGCCTCATTAAGATCGCAAAGTGAGGTTTAAGAAGTATGTAGGATCTCAGCTGGCGACCTTTCTAGGTTTAGGTTTTGTATTGACTGTTCGTGAATAATAGTTTCTGGCTCTGACGATGTCCCTTACATGACGGATGAAAGCTCATCACGGAGTCTTCAGGGTCGTACGACGCTGAGCTGAGGTCTTCTTCGCACAATTCAACAAACAAAATTATAAAACAACCCTTCTTCGGTATTCGGTGAGATAATTCTACAAGCACCTTCCATCCGCCTTCTCAAACGAAATGAAAGGTATGCAAGTATTAATTAACTTAATTACTGCTGATATCGAAAAGATTCTGAGTAATGTAACGAGCAAGTATATCATGTTATGGTTTGTGAGAAAAAATTTCTAGGGGAAATTCTGCACACAAATATGGCAATCCGAATCTATTCTATTCCTAGTTTTGCATAAATAAACAAAACAAGGAGTGATAGCATAACCGTCTCAGTATAAAGTTGGTCAAGGGATTGACTTTACTTGTCTCTTTGACAAGTTGTAGCTTAGTATGCTAGGAATGGCAAGACCCACTGATGATGCCGATTAAGATGCTGGCGAAATGTCTGGGAATGTACCAAGTCCACTGTCCAACCATGCATACTATGGACTCCGGACAAGGTGCGCTCTTCTAGGTCTTCCTGATAATATGACCAAGTTGCGAAACTAAGGTCAAACGACTTCTATAAAGTTGCTTATGATCCTGTAATCTCGGGTCTTGTTAGAGCTTTGTGGATGCCTTTTAGTTTGTATATGCATTAACCACAAGTTGGTTGGCAATTTTAGGTCCAAAAACAGACACCACGTTAATCAATTGTTCTCTTAATCAGTAGCTCTTTCTCTTCCCTTTCCTTCGCCCCCCTCTCTCTCTCCTTTTTTATAATTATATTTAGCACCCAGATATAGTTCTTACTTAGTTTCCTACATTCGTTCCTCTTATTCAGGATGTTCGTTGTTTTATTAATTTCAATTAATTCTCCGATCGAAGGTATGAAGATCAAGATGGTGTGACCTTTTGTGTGCTCGCAGTCTCCTTTCGTTGCATAGAAGTTGTTTGACGTTGTTTTTGCAACTTGGTCATATTGGTATGAAGACTTAGAGGAACGCACCTAGTCCGGAGTCCATTGTATGCATGATCATTTGCAAAGTCAGACCGTCGACGTGGTACTCTCTGATCTTCCGTTTAGTTGGGAAGTTCCCATATCCGGGAAAATGTGGGGTTTATACTACTCTATCTGGTGTCTTGTAGTGACGACATGTTTAGCCATCTCCCATTTCTGAGTCTATGAACCTTTGTAGGCACTTCTGTGTTATGATGGCCTCTTATATATGGGTGGACAAGTCTCCCCCACATAC